TAGAAGCTGGTGAGGGGTGCTTTGAGCATCTGCTTTCTGATTATCAGCTTTTCGCTTAAAAAAAGCTATACCAAACGGGGTTCTGAAAGCAATGGTGGACAAATGGGAGGCTGAGGGGGGCCATGGTTGTTAGTTTTCTGAATAAAACTATATATTCAATTGTTTTAATACAATGTGTACATATGATATGTATAGTAATTCTAGACCTAATCCTAAATAGGAAACAAGAATAAACCTAAACCAATCCTAAATAAGAAACAATATTCACATAATATATACTATATTAATATCATTCTCACATCCCCCCTCAAACTGAAGGTGTTTGGGAAGAAAATACTTAGAGTTTGTCAAGAAGAAACTGAAACCGAGCAGTGGTGTAAGTTTTGGTAAAGAAGTTAGCAAGCTGCAGAGCCGAAGAGACGAAAGGAAGCGAGATAGAGCCAGACTGTAGATGCTGACGAACAAAGTGACAATCAATCTTAATGTGTTTGGTCTGCTCATAGAAGACAGTGTGATGTGCAATCTGAATAGTACTGCGGTTGTCACAATAGAGGGAGGTTAGAGAAGACTGAGGGACGTCCAAGTTAGAGAGAAGACAACGAAGCCAGATAACTTTAATAGTAGCATGAGTAACAGCACGATACTTAGTTTCGGCAGTAAAGCGAGCAACAACAGTTTGTTTCTTGCTTTTCAAAGAGATCAAGGAATTGCCAAGAAATATACAGAAATTAGACGTGGACTTGCGATTAGTAACATCACCAGCCCAATTAGCATAGGCCACCAAATCCAGAGAAGAAGTAGAGGATAATAGTAAACCTTGAAATATAGTACCTCAGAGATAGTGAATAATCCAAACTAAGGTAGCTCAATGTGTGGAGCGAGGAGCAAAAACAAACTGGCTAACCACATGAACAACATAGGCAAGATCAGAACGAGTAATTAAACCGTTAGATAGACTAAGCAACCCACGAACTCTCGATATAGAGTAGGATCATCCAGAAAAACACTATCAGTAGTTTTGAGTTTTACATTAAGCTTAATGGGGGTATTAGAAATATTAGTGTCAGTAAGACCGGCAAGATGAATAACCTTATTGGCATACTTGGTATGAGAGAGAAAGTTACCCTTGGGAGAAGAAGCTACCTCAATACCAAGAAAATACCGCAATGGGCCCAGATCTTTCATTTCAAAGGTGTGAAAAAGATACTTCTTGATCTCAGATATAACAGAAGAGTCCAAACCAATGATGATCATATCATTCACATATAGTAATAACACAATAAATCCAGTAGAGGTGTGGAGAAGAAATAAAGCAAAGTCCTGGGCACAAGGATGAAACTCAAGCTCAGTAGCAGTAGTCTGAAAGTGATCATACCAAGCACGAGGAGACTGCTTCAGGCCATACAGTGCATGCCGAAAGCGACAAACCTGTCTAGAAGAATAGTGAAGGCCAAGGGGAGGATGCATGTAAACCTTTTTAGTGAGATGACCATTAAGAAAAAGCATTTTTTACATCCATCTGATAAAGAGGCCAAGAACAAACAGCAGCGACAGAGATCAAAGTACTGACAGTAGTCATTTTGGCAATAAGAGTAGAGGTCTCATAATCAATACCATACTCCTGTGAGAAATCTTTGGCAACCAAATGAGCTTTGTAGAACTCAAAAGAACCATCAAAATGAGTCTTGACTTTGTAGATCGATTTGCAACCAACTAGATTCTTACCAGCAGGCAAAGGAACCAACTCCCAAGTACTAGTTTTCTGTAAAACAGGTAACTCATTTTCCATAGCTTGAACCCAATGAGGATTTTGACAAGCCTTCTTATAAGATCGAGGTTCTAAAAAAAAGTGAATAACAGACATAAAAGTATGATAGGAAGTAGAAAAACATATATTAGACAAACCCAACCTGTTTGGAGGATGACGGACTTGAGTAGGATATCGGTGTGCAGCAGGATCAGAGTCGTCAGAAGCAAGAGGATCAGTAGCAGAGGCAGAGACAATCAGTGGAGGAGGAGCCTTGCGACGAGAATAAACTAACAACGGAGGAAGAGAAGAAACTGAAGGAGGAGAAGCAGCCAGAGGAGATGGAACAAGCTCAGGAGGAACTGTGGAAATGTACTCATTAGACGGGACCTCAGGAGGAAACGGATCAATATGAACAAAATCCTCTTTGGAAACTGGGGCGGTGAGAGGAAGACGCTGAAAGTAGCGTAGACGTTCGAGAAAAGAAACATGACGCGAGACATAAAGAAGATGGAAAACGGGGTCGCAACACTGATAGTCTTTCTAAGTAGGACTATAATCCAAAAAGACACAGAGGACAAACCGAGCACTAAATTTGGTCTTATCTTTACGAGAAAGAAAGACAAAACAGGCAAGCCCAAACACATGAAGGAGGAAGTAATTAGAAATTTGGGAGAACAAAGCCTGATAAGAAGACCGACCAGAAAGAAGGGGAGTAGACATGCGGTTGAGAATAAAAGCAGCAGTAAGAACTGCCTCCCCCCAGAATGGAGTCGGAATTGAGATAGAGAGAAGAAGAGACCTAGCTGTCTCAAGGAAATGACGATGTTTACGCTCGGCTCGATCATTTTGGGCAGGTGTATCTGTACAAGAAGCTTGGTGAATGGTACCCAAATTGGCCAAATAATCACAAAACTCATTTTTAAAATATTTCCCACCCAAGTCAGATCGTAACACTTTAATTGTAGACCCAAACTGAGTAGTAATCATAGATTGAAATATACAGTATATCTGATAGAAATCGGACTTCTGAATCATAAGATAAACCCAAGTGTAACGGGTGCAGTCATCAACAAATGACACATAGTATGCAGAACCCTTTTTGGTGAGAATAGGAGAAGGGTCCCCAAATGACACATAGTATGTAGAACCTCTTTTGGTGAGAACAGGAGAAGAGCCCCAAACATCAGTATGAACTAAGAAAAACGGTGCATCAGATATAGAAGTACTTTTACGAAAAGGTAAGGTTGTCATTTTGGCAAGTTTACACTCCCGACATTCGGTAAGTTCACTAGGAGAAACTTTACCCAATATACTTGAGTGAGCTAAAGACCGTTAGCAGTCAGCAGACAAATGTCCTAATCTAGAACGTCACAAGTAGAAAGGAGTGGACAGAGAATCTAACTGAAAAGAGGAAAAAGCACTTGGAGAAGTTGTCATAGGCAGATGCAAGTTCTCTACTACATAGAGGTCTCCAACTCTACGGCCAGTCTCAATTAGCTGCTTGGATATACGATACTACACAGAATAGATAAAAGAAGAAAAGATAACATCAAAACCGGAGGTATCAAGCTGACTGATAGATAATAAACTAACAGCTAACTGAGGAATATAAAGGACAGATAGAATAGAGATAGCAGACATAGCAGACGGTAAGACAAACCCAACAGATATAACAGACATACCAAACCCATTAGCAGCATTAACAGTAATAGGAAAAGAAGGGGGAGTACAATTTTGAAGTAAGAATTGATGGAGAGTCATATAATGAGAGGCACCAGAGTAAAAAATCCAGGCAGACAAAAAGATAACTGAAGAAGACCTAAGCAAACCTGAATGAAGAGAGGAAACAATAGAGGCAGACGAGGATGGTTGGGAGGTAGATAGTGTATGCTGAAGTTGACTAATTTGAGCACTCAAGGAAGCCAAATCAGGATCAAGAGAGCAGATGCTGTAGAACCGGCGGAAGCCTAAAAATTACTCGAAGAAGAAGGGCAAAATTGAGTCTGAGATTGGTGAGAATACGAGCCAGACAGACATCCCTTTTTGGGACAGTGATACTTCTAATGGCCCCACTGATGGTAGAAGGGACACTCATCTGGAGCTAGAGGCATCATAATAACCAGAAAGCTAAGGGGTTGAAACCAACTAGAGAACCAGCAGTTGAAGTAAAGTCTAGCAAATCGAAGCAGAGAACCAAAGACCAATGATGAAGAGCTTCGATCAACACAGCCATAGAAAGAGAACCAGAAGTCGAGCGAGAAGAACAAGTTCAGACAGAGGTGCGAGAGAGAGAAAGACCTTCGTGAACCAAAACGAGAGAGAGAAAGATCCCTCGCACAAACCAGATGGGTCAATGTGTTGTCGGATTGCAATTCTGGTGACAAATACGACTTCGATGAACACCCAATGGCAGCGAAACAAACACTAAAGATCTAGACGAATTGCGATGATGAACTGCGATGACTAGACGAACCAGACGAAAAGACCAGACGAAGTACCCAACTCAGATGGGTCGACTTCGTGAGACTAGAGATCAGAATCAGAGATGGTTGTTAGGGTTTCGAGTCCTTCAGGTTTTGAACCAAGCTTTGATACCATGTTAGTTTTCTGAATAAAACTATATATTCAATTGTTTTAATACAATGTGTACATCTGATATATATAGCAATTCTAGACCTAATCCTAAATAGGAAACAAGAATAAACCTAAACTAATCCTAAATAGGAAACATGAATAAATCTAAACCAATCCTAAATAGGAAATAATATTCATATAGTATATACTATACTAATATTATTCTCACAATGGCCCCCACAAGATCCAAGAACATTATGTGCTATGGTCTTGCATCTTTAGATCAGTAACAGCTGGCCTTCCAAGTTAGATCAGGTTAGGAGACAAAGCCTTTGTGCTTGACTTTGATTCTGCTTTTATAACGTTTCAATGGGCAGTTAATGTGGCGGCACACTAAACTGCCTAGCTGAGAGCATTTTCATCATAGGTTAGCTTTCTATTAGCATTTTCACACATTTTAAGTTGTAAATTTGTATGGTTTTGATTTGAAATATATTACCACACATATTACTTTACAACTCATTTTTCCATTTTAGGCAGAGATGCTACACATCTTCGAACACCAAGTTAAATGGATATGTTGGATTATCACTTTGGTTTGCTTTGGCTAGCTAAAAAAAGAAACTATGTGGACAGCTTGTTTAAAATAACTATATGGCTCCCTTTGCGTGCACAGCTCTAGTGGAGTTGGTCTTATTGTGGACTATGGGAACACTGACTCAGAAGATATTATAGTGAATGAAGAAGAAGCAATTGCACGTCTGCGCATTCGTTCTATCCCTCTACACGGTGATGATTGTGTTCACATTGAGGAAGGTGAGCATATTCTTGCCACCCAAAAGTCACAATCTAAGAGCCTCTTCTTTGACGCCAAGGTAGAAAAGGTAAACTCTTATTTTCCTTTTTTAATTTATATATTTATTTTGAAGGATTGGTACGAATGGTGTGTGGAATAACTAGAAAGGACATAATTTTCTTCTATTTTCTTGGGTAGGTAACTTTTTGGACAGTAGACCGGCAAATTCAATTGTTTCACTTGGTAATTGGCAGCATCATTGTGAATGCAGTACTGGACCTGTTTCACAATAAGAGCTATTATGTACTAAATCCCCCCTCCCCTTGCAGTAAATTTGCTTGCTGTAATACTTTGAGAGTAAAAGATATTAAAAAAAAAAAAAGAAGAAGAAGAAGAAGAAGAAGAAGAAGAAGAAATTAAAAAAATTGGAGTTAGTACTTTCTCATGACATAGCATCTGCAGAAGTGGTATTCTGTTGTATACTTGTCTCAATTTTGTTCCTTGTGGAATGCTATGGATCATGGTATATATATTTATTCCCCCCTTTCTCTTAAGAGTCCCATTGACTACAAAATTCATTTTTAGAATTTATCATGGCCCTTGAAGAATCCAATGTTGTTACCCACTGGACTATAATTCTAAGGTTATAATAACTATGCACTTGTAATTGGCAGTGTTGCAATCGGTTGGAAATCCAATAGATAGACTGCGCAGCTTAACACCGAGATTGGTTGTTCATATCTACTGTTGGCCGTGATGTAGGATGGTTATAGTGCTCTACCATGTGGTTTTATTAAGACCCACTATTTGGTTCTAGGCTTCAAAGCTTGAGAACACAATTTAAATATATGGATGCCACATTGTCTATTATTAACACTCTAGAGATAGGAAAGTTTGACTTTTTGGCTTTAAGGCTGTTTAAGACATAATAAAGGCTTCGTTTAAGACCCAATAACAGAACTTGACTCATAATATAACCCATCAATCATTGACATCCCATCTTTAGCAATTCTAAAAGTTAAAAAAATAACCCATAGCTAATCTAATAGTTAACAAAATAACCTAACTCATAAATCTTAGTAAAACATATATAAAATTGTTTCCACAGCATACAAACTTAAAATGAGTGTGAAGTTCGACTCAGATCATTACTAATAAAAAAGTCTTCTCGAGTGTTGTCGGGCTAGTAGACTTAATTTTGGGCTTCCAAAGTGGATATGTTGTATCTAACCGAATGAGGGCTATGACATAAATTGCATTAGCTGATCATTTTTGTCCTTGGATTATTCTTTAATTAGCACATATTTTCTTCTGATATAATATTTTTTTTTTCACATTAGTAATTTCTAATATAATGTCATGAGGATTCATGGATGTTCCTTGGGAGTAGATACGATCTCTGCCAGTGCAATGTATGACATAAAAAATTGTGTATATACTCTCCAAGTATCAGTTTGAAATCTATAAAGGGATTAAGGTTCAACATTTTGTGGCTTATCATTTATGTTTATATTGTCATATAATCATATTGTACCAATACTTTGATCAACTTCTTAAAAAAGTTGTGCTCCGATGTCTTGTTGCATTGTTAATTTAGCTGACATGGCAATCTCCTTGATTATCAGGCACTAAGAGTAAGACATTCAAAGAAGATCTATTGTAGATGTAATTTCATAATCAAGTGGCTTCACCAAGACCGTGGAGGAACTTTGACTGTCCCCTCTAGTTCAATCAAGAAACTGGCTACAACAGGAATCAATGTGAATCCAACTATTTGTGCATTCTTGAATACACTGAAAAACTTGAGTTGCTCCAGTACACCTCCATTACCAACCATCGTAGAAGACATAGATTGCGAAATGGATCTACACAAATTGCTGGAGAAACAGATAGAGGAGATCAGTAATTCAGCTGATGTTTCCAAGAAGAGAATTTCAGACAACATTCTGTTTGGTGTTGAGGGTAGGCACCTATAGCTCTATCACTTTACTACATAGACTATAGTGTAGGTTTTTCCTATTTTAATTTAAAAATTTATGCATGGATGAGTTAGATTCTAGTTGGTAGCCTGCACTAACAGTTGATGGATAATGCTAATACAGTGTCTTGCACCTGAGCCTCCAACCTGGAAACTTGGTTTTTCTGACACTTTAATGCAGTATGTTCCACAGTATGGGCTCCTCTTAGTGACAGTTCAAAATTAAGTATAATCAAATAGGATCTGCTTTGTTTCAAAAAAAAAAAAAAAGGATCTGTTTTATTCTTCATCTTGGATCCTTGACTCTGTTTATAGCTTATCTCTCATAGCAAAATCCTTGAAATTTTTGTATGCAAGATTTGTACTCATTGTGAGTTCACTGTTTGCTCTATCTACAGACTACATGGTTTGACTCCTAACGGCAACTATATGTGGTTATGCTCTATTTTTCTTCTAATTTTAAAAAGGCCTTGATCTTTTGTTGTTTGACTCTGAATTATCCATAACTCATATTTATCCATTGTATAAATGACGTAATAATTATCAACTGATATTTGTTTCCAGCCATTACACTTATTACGCGGGAAGCAACAAATTAAAATCTTACTTGCTTTGAAGATGCTAATTGTTTATCTGATGAAGTTTTTACTTCTTTATACTTATAACTGATAGGCTGAGACATTGATTGATGTCTTCATCTGAGCTTGAAGGATCATTTTTTGACCTGCTAAATCTGGTGCCTCTTTATTGCCCAATGAAAAGAAGAAAAAATAATGTGCTCTGTTTACTTCAAACCATCTTGGGAATTCTAGTCATCAATGTCTTAAGTCAAAGTTGACATTGATGGTGTAATCAGATTGGTTTATTGACTCCTTTAGCAGTATCTTGTGCCTCAAACCCATTAGAAATAGGATCATGATGGTTTGCTTGCTAGCGCCCCCGCCCCCGCCCCCCACCCAAACAAAAAAAGGTGCTTTAAGAGTTACGTTAGTTTTAAAGTGTCAGATCTTTTGTTTTGTTGCAAATATCTTATGATCCAATCTGCTTACCATAATGCAGTTGATAACAAAGGACAAATTCAGTGTAGAGCAGTTGCTGGATCCAAAGTAAGCAAGTCGCATGTTCAAGTTCCTCCTGATCAGAATCACTTGAAGAGGACTACTCGGAGCACGAAAAAACTGCAAATGGAAATGGAAGTGAAGGATCCACCACCATCTGCTCCATCCATTCAAGAGTTATCAGAAAGCAGGTCTCCATTGAATCCTCTGGCGGCTCGCGCTGCCCTTGCATCATTAATGTCAAAAATGCCTCAAAACCTTGAAGTTTCATTCTACCGTGAGGAGAAATTGGACTACACCTATTCACTGAATGGGACTAAATTGTACAAATCTCCTACTAGGAATAGTTTTTCTCTGACCGATAAGCTCCCTCTGCAAGCAGAAGCTACTTCAGTTCCATTTGATCCAGACATTAATAGTGCTTCAGGAAAGCCTCAACTTATGAATGCCTCTTCGGGAATATTGACCATGGAGAGGGAAAGTGAAGACAAAACCTCAGAAATCCATGATTCTAGGGAAAGTTTTACCTGTTCAGTAGCCAAAAGGAAATTAATCCCGCCTCCTAAAGCAACTAATCTAACTGATTCTGTGATAGAGAAAGGTGCTGGAATTCCAGATCGCACTATTGAGAGGAAGACCTGTGTTGAACAGAAGTTACAGTCTTCAACAAATCCAAGAAGGTTCACTCGTTCAGCAGTTGGTAAAGTTAAAGAAGCTCAAACTATGGAAGCTAAACAAGGAATGGAAGATTATAAATCGGGTAAATTTGCTGACTCAGGTTCTGTTGTTCAAAACATTGCAGTCCTAGAAAGCCAAGCATTGAAGGATGAGAAATTGGCCACTTCCCGAAATGATTCTGCGGTCAAGTTGCTCTCTACTGAGGATAGGAATAGCCTAGGAAAAGAAGAGGAAGGGAATAAGAAGCATGTAGTTGAGAGGAAGACCCGTGCCGGGTTAAGGAATTCAACTAGCCAGAGCAGCTTGACTCATTCAGCAGTACATGAGGAGAAAGGGAATAAAACTACAAAAGCTACAGATGAATTGGAAGATGATAAGTTAGCCCAAAATACAAGGTCAAACTCCTCCAAGGAAAATGTCACTGCCTGCAAGAGCACTGTAGTAAAAACAACAGAATGGACCTCTTCACCACTTGAGGCTGAGGGTGACTTACCCCTTATTGACAAAAGACATAATAGAGGGAAGATGTCCAGTGCTGTCAAGACTACTCAAAAAACTGAAGGTTCTGTAATCCAACTGTTTGCATCTGATATGCTGGTCTTGATCTGCTTTATATCACATTTGCAATTATTTTTAACTGGATTGAACATTTAATGATATATTCCCATTATTTCAGATGGCCTTCTTGTTCCCCCCACCCGTCCACCTTGTTCTAGCACATCATCTCTTGTTTTGCTTTCCTTCATTAATATTTCTTTCTTTTTATAACTTTTTGAGCCATTCCAAAATTGTCTTTGAGGTTTTTGTTTTGGTTTCTGTCTGTAATCTCTGAATATTAACGTATTTTGGTTTTCTCATTAGGCTTGATTTACCTACTCTATGTGACTTGCATTTTCTTCCCCAACCCAAATTAATTCTTAAACTTTTTTCCCTATTCTGATATTGTTGCCACTATGTCGCCCTCTAGCTTCCCCACTGTTTTCAGGATAAATGCCATGGCAATACATGAATTACCTTTAATTTTTTTTTTTCTAGTTGTGCAAAATTCCCTCACCATGGATAGTTTTTATCTCAATCTTATTATTGCTTGTCTCGGTATATTTAACACACTTGGATGGAAGGAGGTGTTCACTGCCATATTTACCAAATTTCTTTATCAATCAAATTATGCATTTTATGCAATTTATAAATGATATAGCCGTACAGACGACTTGCATGCTAGGTCCCTGATCCACTAATGTGACAGTTTTTAGCTGCCATACATTTCAGCAATGTGAGCGTATTCGGATTGATTTTAATCGTCTTTCTTTTTTTTTGCTGTTGAAGTTTTTGTGCATGTCATATCCAAAAAATTCGTTGGCTGGGTCTCTGCCATCCCATTATGTGGTTATGGATATCAGTAGTCATGAATATTAGCAGTCAATCATGGTGTGTTCTTTTTATTTGTACAAAATAATTGTGGAAGATTTAAATAGCACTATGATGTTGCAGGCAAAGTTGCGGGCAATGGTGAAAGTTGTAGAAGCCTGAAGAGGAAAAGTACTACTTCAAAGAGTCAGGAATCGCGATTTTCTGCCCGACTTCGGTTTTCCCCTCGGACTCGCTCACAGCACAACTCTTAGCCTGGGAAGGAAGGATAGGAGCATGATAGGACTTCTAATCTTTTTTGCTTTTGATGCCGTCTTGCTTCACATGTTCTCAAGTATGAAAAAGGAATCAAGGTGAAAACAATTTTCGCTTTGCTAGAATTCCTGTAAAATCATGAACACTGTAGTATAAAATCGTAAAACATTGTCTAAGCATGAATATGAGATGAATATATGGATATAAAGTTTAAGGGGTTCTCTTTGACCCTACAACCTGTCTATTGTTTTTCCACAACTTCTTGTCAGTTATATCATGGAAGTGGAAGCTATGGATAGGATTTCCTCTGATCTGTATGACATTCTGTTAGTGATTAAGCATTAGGAGTATTGCATTATTGAATGAGCATCCAAGTACACTCTAGTTGTTTTAGAATCATTCAATTCTTAGACAACAACGGATATTATATTATCTTTATCACTTTCTTTCCATTATTGGGTCTACAGTTTGCTACCAGATTAAGATCCAATTCTTATGATAGTATATTCCTTTCTCCCTCTCCCCCCCCCAAAAATTAAGCACTGTTCCTTACTATTATTAACCCCGCTTTTTAGAGTGGCTTAATAACAGTGGAAAATGCAACTAGGCTTGCTTTCATGACTAGAGACCAATGTTTTGAAATCCAGAATATCGAGCGAATTGGAAAAGAGACCGGTTCAAGAGTTACTGGTTTAGGTTAACCAAAATCAACCCTTGATGTCATGATTACCTTAAAAATGTATTTAAAATTATACATAAATAAAAAATACAGATATTGAGATACGTTAAGAGCTGAAGCACTTATAGAGAGCGTATATCTATATTTTAAGATACATATATATTTATTTAAATTATTTTTATATTAATTGTTTGTAAAAAAAATAAAAATTAAACTTGGTGTTTGAATGAAAAAAAAAAATGAATGTATTATTAAATAATATATTTTTACTTAATATATATAAGGAGTAAAAGTGGTGCAGTGATAACCGGCTGTTGGAATATTTCCACTGAAGGTCTCATGTTCAAGCCCATCTCTCCACAGCACCTTCGATTTTTGAAGAGGATAAAATTCGGCTAGTTTCTTGAACTGGCTACCCGTTCAAACGGGTTACTGGTTCAACTATAATTCTTGGCGGTTCTTTAAAAATAAAGCGATTTATTGTTTAAAGAAGGTTTGAGGGTTAATCCAAATCAAAATCTAGACCGGTAAACAATCAGTTGTACTTGTCAGTCCGGTCCAATTTTAAAAACATTGCTTGAGAGACATATGTTGACTGTATACGTACCCACCAGCTTTCATGCTCTCTTAATAACCTACGAGGCCAAATTGTTGGTTCGAGACCTTTGAGTGGAGTTGATATATGATTAATCGATAGGCCATCATGATCTCCCAACAACTCCATATTACCTTAGGTGCAAGTTAGAGTGCGTGCATTCATATGTATACATGCTTTATTCTCTATTGGAGGATATCAAAATTTTACGAAGTACATGTAGTGTAGTGTCGACAATTATCTTATGATAGATCATTCAAATTAGAAGTTTGACGTAAGAACCTGACTTGTCTCAATGAAGTGTTAATTTTTTGCTTTTCCTTTCTCTTACTATTTACTAGAGTCTGTGCAATGTCATTCTTCCTCAGTTGTTAGTTATTGGTCTGTTGTACCTGACTGAAATGTTTTATAGGTTTTCTTTGATTTTATCCTCAAATGATTGTAGTTATCCCCAATTGGTTGTAGTTCTATTGTCTCACATACATGACTGAACTCTTTGTTGGATTTCTTTGATTTTATCTACAAATGATTCTAGTTAGCTCCAATTGGTTGCAGGGCCAGCCTGGGCATGGGGCACCAAGGCCATGGCTTAGGATCTCTCAAAATAGATTTAAAAAAGAGGCCCCTTCTATTATGATTTAGTGTAATATATTAAGTATGTTTTAAGTTTAAAAAAAAATTAAAGAAGGCTCAAACTAACTTAAAATAAATTGACCTATTAAAAAATTAAAAGGCCCATTCAAAAAAATTAAAAAATATACCCAAAAAAGGGTCCTCATATTATAGTTTATTGTAATATATTAGGTATATTTTAAATCCAAAAAAAAATTAAGGAAGACCCAAACTAAAAATAAATTGACCAATTAAAAAATTGAAATGCTCATTTAAAATAATTAGCATTGTTATCCATTGAAAATGATTTTATAAAAAAAAACTAGATTATGCAAGTATGATTAATTTATTTGCTTCTAAAAATGCAAGAAGAGCGATGATCAAGCGACACTTATTAATTGTTGTGATGTAATACTAAGTATTTTTTGTGATTTTGACACAATTTTTTTTTGTCTTTTATCTTCATATTTTTTTCTTTTTTTTTTCATTCAATGAAAAAAAAATGTAAAAAACCCTAAAAATTTATCAGTTGATTATTGACTTTAGGCCCCAGAAATCTCATAGCCGGACCTGATTGGTTGTAGCTCTATTGTCTCACAGATGTGTTTACATTTTTCTGTATATTTAGGGACTGAACTATTTTATAAGTTTTTTTTTTAATTTTATCTCCAACGCTGTGTTTGGTTAGAACATTTTAAAAGAGATTTAAAAAAAAAAAGAGAAAAAATAGATAAAATAAAAATAAAATATACTTATATTTTATCTAATTCCATACACTTTTTTTCCTTTCTATTTTCAAATATATTCTCACATCTTCTAACCTCTCATAGCCGGACCTGATTGGTTGTAGCTCTATTGTCTCACAGATGTGTTTACATTTTTCTGTATATTTAGGGACTGAACTATTTTATAAGTTTTTTTTTTTTAATTTTATCTCCAACACTGTGTTTGGTTAGAAAATTTTAAAAAGAGATTTAAAAAAAAAAGAAAGAAAAAATAGATAAAATAAAAATAAAATATACTTATATTTTATCTAATTCCATACACTTTTTTTTCCTTTCTATTTTCAAATGTATTCTCACATCTTCTAACCATACCCAAGATAAATGATTCTAGTTATCTCACAGATATGTTCATTTTTCATATCTCAATATCTGCATTTTAATTTTCATTGAGTTGAAAGGAGGGCGGCAGCCCCCTTGTGGAGTTGTCCGACTTTAATTATGCACGGAAAACAAAAGTTCTAGGTTCCAGAGGATCGGCATAATGGCTCTGTTTGGTATATCGGGTCTACCCATAGCTTTTTATTTTATTTTTTTTATTCTGTTGTCTATTTATTTATTTTGTGAATATATACCAGAGAGAGTGATACAGAATATAAGAAATTTAAGGAGGTTAAGCTCTCGTTTGAGAACAAATTTTTTTAGTAATTTTTTTATTTTTTTACTTAAAATATGATGTAAAAATTAGTATGTTTAGAATGACTTTTTAATTTTTTACGAAAACATGTACAAAAAGTAGTGAGAAAAGGGAATCTTTGGTAGCGTTTGGTAGAGCTTTGTAAATGTGATTTGAGAATATGAGTTGTATTTTGAGTTTGTGTGTTGTGAAATTATGATTTGAGTGTAGAAAATTTGTTTGGTAAAGAGTTTTGAAAATAGTTTTGGAAAAGAGGTTTCACTTTGTGATTTATGAAATTTGAAATTAGAGAAAAGATAAGTTGGATTGTTTAGTGAGTGGAAATGTGAGGTGGATGATTAGGTGGAATGCCACCGAAGTGGTGCTCTTTTTAGGGATGAAAGATTGGCGTTCTCAAATTATTCTACCATCTAGAGTGTGGTTGAGTCTTCTAGAAGTAGATTCAAGAAGCTGAGTCTTAAAAATGAGTGTTCTCGCTATCTTTCTTGTAATCTTTGTAGTTTTTCTAGAATTTAAAAAAAAAAAGTTTTTCATTTCCAAATACACTTGGTCTTCTGTTTTTTAATTTTATGGAGATCTAAGAATAGTGATACAACACTACAAGAAAATCCAGCTTTGGCGACTAAAAAATGAATTTTCGTCGCTGAAAGTAGGACAATCGGTGACTAAAATGGAATTAGTCGCCAAAAGTGAACACTTTTGGCGACTAATTCCATTTTAGTCACCGATTGTCCTACTTTCAGCGACGAAAATTCATTTTTTAGTCGCCAAAGCTGGATTTTCTTGTAGTGGTTTGGTATATCGGGTCTACCCATAGCTTTTTATTTTATTTTTTTTATTCTGTTGTTTATTTATTTATTTTGTGAATATATACAAGAGAGAGTGATACAGAATATAAGAAATTTAAGGAGGTTAAGCTCTCGTTTGAGAACAAATTTTTTTAGTAATTTTTTATTTTTTTACTTAAAATATGATGTAAAAATTAGTATGTTTGGAATGACTTTTTAATTTTTTACGAAAACATGTACAAAAAGTAGAGAGAAAAGAGAATCTTTGACTTTTTGATATAGGTTATTGTCTTTTTAATTTTTTTAATGATTTTTTTTGACTTTTTGACTAAAAAACCATTTACCAAACGAGACCTAAATTTAAAGAAGTGATGATACTTAGATATTAACACGATTTCATAGAGAAATTGAAAGAAATCGTTTATAATTATATTTATAATATTATTAGAGTATTATTTTATTATTATTATTATTATTATTATTATTTTATTTTATTTTTAAAGATTTTTAAGGTTAGGGGTATTTTTGTAATTTTATAGTTGTTGACACCGCTCATGAGCCGTCTTGTGGATCAAGTTATTTAATCGAGTTTTATTTATGTTTTTATGTAGTCTTAAATTAGTTTTAGAAGTCAAAAATATTGTAATAGTTTCTTTTTTTTTTTTTTGTTATAGTTGGTTTAGTAAGTCACATGATTTTATATAAAGTCGTGTAATGCTTATAATTCAATAGAGTTTATATTAAAAAAAAAAAAAATCAAAACTATTGAAGCTTGTGATGCAACTCTAACCCTAGGTGTGATGCCTAAGGGATTCTAGAGGTGATTTCTAGAACGATCTTCTTCTTCTCTTTTATTTCTTTCTTAAATTTCAGCACTTTCACAACCCCAGAACAGCCAGCACTGTCCCTGATCGTCCTACATTAGTTTGGTATCAGAGCTTAACATTCCACCATGATGTTTTCACATTGTGGGAGATCCTGTACAAGTGGATTGACTTAGGAAGAGGGTAAAACACATCTTAGAGACAAAATTTGTCTAAGGGATCTTCAAGATGATTTTATTAATCAATTGTATGCTCTTAAGTAAAGTGATATGCGTGTGGTTGATTATATAAGAAAATTTAAGGAATTATTTATCAAGTCTGGAGTAGTACAAAGTAAACGGATGACTATTGCTCGTTTCAAAAATAGATTGAGATATGAAATCAAAGAAGTTATTATTCCTTATGCTCTTGGAAGTAATGAATCGAAAAGAGTAATTGTTGGTCTAGAGCATATAATACC